TTACTCATCATATTATATTTATTTGTGACGATGCGTTATGCGATTTTTTTTTTGATTTTTTTACTCTTTATATTATAATATATTCAATTATGAAAAATTAAAATGCATTATACGATTTTTATTATATTTTTTACTCATCATATTATATTTATTTGTGACGATGCGTTATGCGATTTTTTTTTTGATTTTTTTACTCTTTATATTATAATATATTCAATTATGAAAAATTAAAATGCATTATACGATTTTTATTATATTTTTTACTCATCATATTATATTTATTCGTATATACATCGTATATACATATTTACACCTTTTTTCCACAGTGTAGGAACTAACATACGTACCTGGATATTACCGTATAGGAACTTACATGCGTATCTTTTTCCGCCATGTAGGAACTAACATAGGTACCTGGTTTTTACCGTGTAGGAACTTACATACGTACCTTTTTCCGCCGTGTAGGAACTAACGTGTGTATTTTTTTTACCTACTACTGTCGTGTAGGAACTTACATTCGCCCTTCATAGGTATCTATATCAGTGGCGAGACGAGCTGTTATAGCACAAGTAGCAAATATTTAAGTTTCAACGCCCATCTAATATTTTATCAGACTTATAAAAAAATGTATACACTTTATATGAAATAAAAAACTTACATCATTTTAACGTCAAATTACATTATGTGTTAATCATTTAGGTACTTATCGTTTATTTAGTGACAAAACATTGTTTAAATCATTTGAAGTTAACGCTTATTCAATGATAGCTTTTTCTAGATATGCATATTATCTTGTTGCTTGTCATTACTTTATTTATATTAGTGCTTGGTTACTTATAGTAAATACGTGTAAGCTAAATATTAATAATCACCCACTAAAAATGTGAAGGGTCCACTACACACTCCTCTAGACCCACTTCAAGTCACCACTGAAACATTATTTAAAATATTAAAATATTTAGTGTTCTAGTATATAGACTCGAATTGGATATAGCATATAACTAAAATTATTAGCCGATGATCAACATTTATTTATGCGAAGCAGCATACAAATATAATAATAATTCAAAAGCAGATTTTCAGTTTTTGTATACCCGAGTATTTTTATGTCCCTCTTTTGGGTTATGTGTATGTTTCGTTATTTTATTATTTTTCCCTCTAAATCCCTCTCCACGATTGTGATTGTATGCCCTCGTATATTTTGGAATTACATTTATTTTTGCAGTTCTTTTTCTCTTTCTGTTTGGACACTTCCCAATATTATTCTATTACTTTTTGCTACGAAAATCGATTTATTTCGTATGTATTTAAATACATATTTTATATCTTGGTAGTAGTATATTTTATTACATAATATCCACTTAAAATACATTTTCAGGAAAAAAACTTTTTTATAGATAATTTATACGTATATGAACTTAGGTAATACAATAATAATAATATTAAAGTAGTATTAGGTAGTTTTAAGTAAGTGATAAAAATAATTAAATTCTACATTTTAATAATATCAATTTGATTTAGTAGAAGTAATGATAAGGTGGGTTACGGTAGATTACTCAAATAGTTCCCAATCTCCACCCAAAAATTACATTAACCATGTTGACGAATATTCGACAAAAAATTTTTTTTCTTTTAATTATTATGGAACTATTTAGTATATATGTTAGATATTATTATAAAATTCATTAACATTTTTGGATTAGATTTTATTTCAATCTATTTTAGGAGTCGATATTTTTATTTTCAACTGGAAATAAAAACCGTTTTATACGTCAAAAAAACAATGATTAAACTGGTGCATTATATTTAAAAAAAAATTAATAAATGTCTGTATAATATAGAGCACCGGACCGTGAGTTTGATCGCAATATTATATTAATTAGTCCCATCGTTTTTATTTAATTTTTTTAATTTTGCATATTGTCCATATATTAGTTACTACGTTATTACAAAAGTTTACCGAAGTACTAAGACTGTTACTTTGATATACTATTTTTTCTAAATTGAATTAAGTTTAAAATGGAAAATAATTTTTTTTCATATGTTTAAATGTAAATATTCTATTCATCAAAAGCCAACTAAGAATGGCCTTCCAGTGGTGATTTTTCCATGTATAATAAGTATAAAAGTTTGAAATTTCCAAGTTTCTAAAGTACTAAGTCCACTGAATAAACATTTTCCTGTTATAGTAAGTATATTTTTAGCAGTCTAGCTTTATATTTGAGTGTAAATATTGAACTCTGTTTCATTAAAAAGCAAAAATATTGCTTCAAAGTAAATATGTTCATATAAAAAATTATATTTACAGTTGTAGTATGTTTATTGTCAAATTAAAAAAAAATGTATTCAATAAAAAGTTTTCGATTTTGCTGTGTTATTGATTATTTTATATGCTCTTGAATTATTGTTTTCTGCGCAATAAGTATTATGATAAAGCAGGGAACACAAATGTTTAAGACATTTACAGGAGGTCTGATTATGTGTATTGCTTTGTCTATTTAAATGTAAGCTTTATTGAAAAAACTAAGCACCACTCAAATTTGACTCAATCCTCACTGCGCATGCAGCTACCTACTTACTAAAAAATACAATTTTATTGAAATTTAATTTATTTGTTTGTTTGTTTTTTTATTTTTAAAGAGGTAATTTAGTTTTGAATTCAGGTTTTATGGTTAAATTTATAAAAAAAAACATAAGTTTAAAACCTAATAATACAACATAGGTTGTAGCATGTATTTTTTTAATTAAATATAAATTTACAAAAGAAAAACAACTTTAGAAATGCAACGAACCAATGAATGGATTAAGATTTTCTGTTGTACCATTTATATTGTACATTATAATACTCGTATTTAAATTAAATTATAAAGGGACTTTACAGAAGGCATAATTATTATAAAACCTCTTGTTAAAAAAAAAATCTATAATAAAATCCACAACCACTAAAATGTAATATATAATAATATTATTTATTCAAAAATACTTAATATGCTATTTATTATAATTATTATCCTAGATATTTTACAAAATACCGAAGTTGAAAAATTCTTATAGTAAAATACTTAATATTCACATAGCGATAGCAATGTAAAATTTAAAACAGTAATAGCAGAATAAGTTTTGCAAACCATTTATATTGTATTATTATGATTATTGTTCTTGTTTTCAAATGTAATGTGTACTGAATTGATGTTTTTCTAAGATTATATAACACTACCTAGTCATATTATAAGGGGAAAAAGGTTGAAAAAATATTCATCACTATTTTTGTCAAACACTCGAAGTTAGAGCCTCGCGGCTTTGATTACATTACCCGGTGTCAGTATTGTACGTACCACGCAGTCACCCAGGTTGGCGACGAGACAGGATATCCGGCTGGACGCTCCCGTCTGCGCGACAACGGTCGACGAGTTTTCGGTCAAAAATTTCGGTTTGAGTAATGTCCGTTGGAGCTGCGTGTCGTCCAGTGCGCTGCTTTGCGTCGCGTTGGATACTTCGGTTGTGGTCACGGTACCCATCGCCGTGGTCGAGTTTGACGTGTTCCTCGGTGGCAACGGCGTGGAGATACCGCGCACAGGAGCCAAAGGTTTCTCGGCGGGTTTGCCTCCAGTTTCCGGCACCGAGTTCTTTTTCCCATCGCCTGAAACAAGACAGGCAAGGACGTCTTTTTTACTATTAATGATTTATGGTAGCGACATAGCGTGTTAGCGCATAAAAATATTAAGAGTTCATCAGCTTTTATTAAAAATATGAATTCATATTATAACGTTTTTTATAGAGATATATTTTAACATGGTACCCCACTCTTCCCAAAAATGAAAAAGAAAATTGCACAACACATTATAATATTTTACTATACTTTATAATTATTTATTTTATTTTATAATACTGGCCATTTTTCAACGTTGGAAACACTTTAATAGTACCTACCTACCTACTACTATTATGGGTAGCTATTTTCCATTATGCGTATAATAATAACTATATTTCTTAGATAATACACAAACGACGTGTATTTTACTCGTACACTGGAGTATATAGTAATTTAAAATACAATTTGCGTTAAAATTATATTATGTAAAAATAAAATATAAATTAAAATCCTCAGAATCTACGCATTTCTAATTTTTCAAAAGTACTCGCTGAGTAATATTTTCTAAGTAATTAAACTAGGGAGTTAAATATCTATAGAGTAGTTAAGATTAAAATATGTATACGTGTTACGCAGAAAAAATATGTCAAGGCTATGAAAACTTGGAAAATATTAATTATTTTATCTCGTTCTCGATGGTTCAATGTTAAAAATATTATAATGCAATACATTGTATTCCCATATTGGTAAGAACAGTTAGAAAAAAATCAAATACATCACTTTTCAATAATAATTTTCCTTTTGTGACTCCAGAATAGAAGCGATTTATATTTTATTCATAAGACACGGTATACAATGAACTCGTATAATATATAGATTATTATTATTATTATTTTATTATAATATCTGCCGTGCCAAACCGCGGTACAACAGGTGGACCATAACTATGATTCACTGACACGGCACGCGTATTCCATACACGCATTTCCCGCGTGGTTTAATAGTGTACAATAGTTGTTTACCTAATGAAATGTCAATCAAAACGAAATTATTGTGGTTCGCCACGTTCGGTAGTGGTAATCGTGACGACGAGGGTGCAAAAAGCGACCCGAAGTATAGACGTTTGACTTAAACAGTTTGAACTAAGTTCTGGTAGGGTATATTATACGAATAAAGCGAATGATTTCGCTCCCGTATTTCAAGGCATATTATAATATATAGTCTCTCGGTATCTGCTGTGCAATTGGACGTTTGTATACACACACGCGCACACACCCACACACACGCACACACACACACACACACACACACACACACACACACACACACACACACACAGATATATTACGTGTAAATTTCTAATACATAATATAATATAGTCGTATATGTTTGTACACATTCACAATGCATACAAGTGTGCCGGTACTACAGAAAACGCCTAGAGATATTTATACGTGGTTTCGTAGTTAGTTTCATGTGTTACATTCAAACGGCTTGGATTTAATATGACAATACGCATTCGGTGAAATTAAGATTCCATTAACGACGTTAAATCTGCAGCTCTTCGACTTTTGCGATTGAAATAATACATAGTATGTACATAAAGGTACTATATTAGTGCGTGTGCAATGTATAATAAATGCACAAACTACTTCATTCAAGCCTCTTGAAGTGGAGTATCTGAAGTTCGTGTGTGTGAGACAGTACGCCAAGTTATTGACATTTTTTTTTTTCAAACATTATTAATATTCATTTTTATTTTATTTAATACTAATAGTTGACAATCGTATTACTATGGATTACTTTTGTCTCCCATCGGATACGCATCTGGAATCACAAACCACGTAACAGGGTTCAATTTGACAACGTTAAAACGATCGTTTCGTAATGTTATTCGTCGAAGTATGCGCATAAAACATATTTATTTCCAGATTACGAAAAAAAGCGCCGACGGTTTTTTTTCTTTTCAATAGAGTATTATATCGCAGCAACCATTTTGAATAGCACAGTTATACTACACGTTATTATTATTATTATTATTATTTTATCCCAAGTACAGAAAATGTGTGTTTGGAAAAATGTGGTGCGGCAATGTATAAATGGATATTAATGTATCGATGGCCCCGAGAACACCCTAACATGGATCAGGGAAAAAAACGTACGATCCACAATACAACGAGTGTTGTATGTATATGGCTGAGAGAACCGTCTCTTTTACTGTTGTCGAGAAACGTATTTTACATTCGTATGGCTCGGTGGCGTGGTGAAAATGTAAATGAAAAACTAGTGACGGTTTTTATTTATCCAATCCAATACATACATACATACGACTTTTTTCTCTCTCTCGCCATTCGTATAAATTTGACGTCAAAAAGTCGCGTTATACTGATAGTGTGACAGGCGGCGCACAATCTTCCAGGAAAATGTTAGTTTTCTATTCCCCCACAGAGTGTGGGTATCGATATAAAAGTTTCGATGCTCTGCAAATACGCGCGGGCGCACTTGATTAATTCGAGGTCACCTCAGAGAAAAGAAGGGGAACGGAGATTGTAGATTTATGTCCGTGAAGTATTTTTAAACCGAGTACCAATACTAAGATCGATATATAATTAAAACTCGAGGAAAAATAATTCTTATTTCACCGCTAAATATCTAAGATTGTAAATAATTCATTAATTTACTAATTGACTATGCATAAAAAAATGTAAAAATTAATGAATAATATTTAATCAAATTTATTGTTATGCTATATTACCAGCAGATCCTGCACGACGTATTTTGCGGACATATGTTATTTGTTGAAAACTAAAATAGAGTACCTATTGAAAAGTGTCCTAGATTTTTATTGACGAACATTTTATGAAAATCGGCCAATAACTGTGGATTTTTATAAGGGCCATCCGTTTTAGGCTCTTAATTGTGTATAGAAGATATGCTTAAAAATTATATAAATCATGTATAATAGCTGTATATATTTGATTTAGCCCAAATTGATATTAATCTATTTCTTTTATTGTTTACAGTTATTTTTCAGTTAAAATAGAAACACAATTACAATGACTAATTTTATGGTTTTCTACTTCCTAATATTGTGAGCAGATTTTTAATACACCGATCACAAAAAAACTCCTTAAGATTGATATTCGTCTATTATAAGTGATTTTTATCAAAAATATGTTTAGAATTATGAATACAAATTATGATTAAAAATTATAAAATAATCCTTGTAAAATGTGTTCGTAAGTGTTAGATTTTGCACAACCTATCTGTTTAGAGACATTTTATTGTAATTTTATACTCAAAAAATATTAATTTTTTGACTTAGGTTATGTAATATAATCAATAGTGAATTTCTAACTATATTTTTAGTATTTAATAAATAATAATTATAAAATCATATTAATTTATTCAATCAATATAATATTAATTTCGCACATTAGCATAATATTCTTGAATTGAATTATAAACTTATAATTTTTAGCTGCATTCTAAATAGCACTTGTCATCCATATCCTGAATATAACAACAGCTTTTATCTAAGTGTCCGCATAAATGTCTATAGTTATGAAAAAACATCCGGTTCATTCAATACTACTTAAAATAAATGCAACACATAATTCAAATACTGTGGATGAGTAGTTAATGTTTATTTATATATAGATAAATATAGCGAGAGTCAGTGAAATACCTAAAAAAAAATACATCACAACTTTGAAAATATAGAAAAACAGTTAAACGTGTACACTTTACATTCAAAGATGAAGCTAATGGCAAATGGTCATTATTGCAGCGGAGGCAACGACGTCACTAATATATTCTCAAGGCGTCCATCGTTTAATGCGTTAATCTTTCAATAGCTATAGTCAACGAATGAAATATGGTTATGTTTTGTTTCTAAGAAAACGCTATTTTATATATTTTATTTTATTGGATCTACTTATTTCCTTTTATTGATTTAATTGTTTACAACTATCGTTATTTTAAATTAAATTTGTTACATGGCGTTACGTATAGGTAATATAGTTACATTACCGTGTAGATGAACAACATAATTAATTTATAAAGAATTTTCGGTAAAACAATCTATTGCAAATATTAGCTATACGCAATTTTATTGTTTTACCAAATATTTGAGATCATAATAATATGCAGTTATATCATTACATGATAGTAACGATACAATTTTAAATTCCAAAATTCTGAGCAAATGAGATCAATATAATTTATAATCTATTCAATATCAAACTAAAATAAACATTTTGTAAATTTAATGTAATTAAGAATTATAATTGTTGTGCTCGTAAATTGTATGACTAGTTTTTGTTCCGTTAAAAATGTACGAGTTATAATGCGTTTTGTTACTTTTTTTATTAATTGAATAATTAATAATAATTAATTTTTATTTATTGAGGTTCATTCTGTTATTTTATTTTTATTATAATCACCACATATCTTAGTTGAGAGATAAATAACTAATACATAAGTTACTGATTTACAATGATCATGAGAAAAAAATCGTGAGGTGGCAAATCGGGGACATTTAAGGTCATTAATAGGTCCACCACGCCCAACCAATTTACTTGGAAAAACATGAGCTGGGTACTTCCAAATCTAACTTGACTGGTCTAATATTAAGGTCGTATTATACTATGTTCATTGTTCATGAAACATATTATTGTTAGATTATATTATTTTAGATTTTCTAACAGTGATATTTCATATTTTTTATGAACTGAATATATTTTAGAAAATGAAAAAATTTATATTTTTGGTAAATGTTTTAAAGTATTTTCGGAGCTATGACACTTTTTAATCATCAGTATGAACAAAAATAATATTTTGTTGGACGTTTTGTATCTAACTAACAATTTAATATTTCTATGGTTAAATAGTAATATTTTTTACTATCATTTTTTTGTATTATAATTTTTAACAAAATATCACTTTTACATGGCTTTAGTCGTTTTAATTGAATGTATTTAAATTAATAAGTTCTAGTAAGTAGGCATATATACTATAATATAGAATTAATTAAAATTAAAAACAAT